CCAGGGTGCTGGCCCACAGAAATGAATTAGACAATGCACCCTTTCACAGACTATTTAGTGACAAGCTGGGATCTGATGAATTTGACACAGGTGATAAGGAAGACAGTAAGGTAGGGTTCAAAGCCTGAACACAGGCAAGTGTCAGGGAGGGTTAAGGGAAGCTTCACAGTTCCAGTAAAGATAAATCTGGGCCAGACAGGCAACCATCAGCAGTCATTTTTGACAGCACCCTAAGTCTCAAGCCCCCACTTCTGTCATTTGTCACATAGGACAGCAGTTTTCCAGCTTTTTTTTTTGAGCTAGGGACTGAAGCCAGGGCCTCCTGAAGGCTAAGCATGTATTCTACCACTAAGCCACACTTCAGTCCTTCAGCTTTCTTTTTTCACATCTGCTGGCTCCTAGATCTACACCACTTTGGATTCCCTGCATGTAAAACACAACAGAAGAAGCCTGTGGCTCATGCCTGTAATTCTAGCTACTCAGGAGGCAGAGCTCAGGAGGATCATGGTTCAAAGCCAGTCCTGGGCAAATAGTTCAGGAGACCCTATCTAGGAAAAACCCATCACAAAAAAACAGGGCTGGTAGAGTGCCTCAAGTGGTAGAGCGCCTGTCTAGCAAGTATGAACCCTTGAGTTCAAAATCCAGTACTGCCAAAAACTAAATAAATAAAACATAACAGAAGAGTAAGCGCCTCCTAGAACTTCTCAAAGTCTTTGATTCCAGGACAAGTTTTGCTACTGACTATGCTATGAGATATTGAATGAGTAGATCATTAAATAACTGTTGTATTTGGCTTTCTTTTATCTTTGTATAAAACTGCTCAGTTTATGAAACTTAGTAAACCAAATAATGTTACTATCAGAATCTTGTTTATCAATTGGGTATTCTGTGTATTTCAGTGTTGTGTACTGTGAGCTTTGTGCACATGTGCATTCATTTGTATGTGTGTTCTGCAGGTATATGTGTTTGTGTATCTGTGTGTCTATTTCTGCCTTCTTACTCCTTTTAGAGTCATGTATTCCTTGATCCTGAGACATAAAAGGGAACCCTGAGGCTTCTGATGATACTCTCCCCTTCTCTGGACCTCAGTTTCCTTTCCTATATAAATTAGGCACTTGAACTCCATGATTCTGAAGGACCCTTGCAGATCTGACCTTTTTTTTTGGTGGTACTGGGGTTGAACTCAGGGCCTCACACTTTGTTAGGCAGGTGTTCTACCACTTGAGTTACTTTGCTAGGTCGTTTGTGTTGGATATTTTCAAGATAGGGTCTCTAGAAGTATTTGCCTGGGTTGGCTTTGAATTACAATCCTTCTGATCTCTGCTTCCCTAGTGTCTAGGATTATAGGCATTATCGTGGCTCAGAGCTGACCACTCTTAACTTCATCACTCACCATATGGTCTGTTGTTATTTATTTATTTTTGGTATAGAAAGGGGAGTGAATCCAAAGCCTTGCACATGGCTAAGACTGTGCTCCATCACTGAGCTACAACCCAGATTACCAGATGGTTTAAGGACTTCTCAAGAAGGTCTAAAAGTAAGAGTCAAGAGCTCAAAGTTTGCAAGCACGAACTCCTAAGTTTAAAACCTAGTTCTACCAAAAAGAAAAAAAAAAAAGAGCTCAAAGTTGCAGTGGCAGGAATCAGAGTTAGAATCTTCATAAGGAGAAAAGCCCAGTCTGGCACACAAAGTCCTCAGGAAAGCTATGGTATTCCTGGTCTAAAGCAAAATCTGTTAGAATTTGAAGCCAGGCCCAAGGACCCATATGGTGTCTCCCCATCTCTATGCTGGCACAATCTCCATGTGATCTTCAGAAAGGGAGCAGGACTCCCATTTCAACTCCCTGTGTTCCTAAGGCAGCAGAGGAATAGAAGAACAGCCATCCAAGAAGATAGATTTGGGCGGGAAAGTGGCCTCAGGTCCTGCTCTGGCTCCTGCAGCCTCCTGATAAACAGGAGGTGCTGAGTCCCGCCCTGATAGCATAATGTCCCCACCTATCAGGGCCCCCAGACTACCCCACCCAGACCCAGACTCTCTTCCAGCCCACACCCTGATCACAGCAGCCCCCACCCCCAGTCAAAGGCCATGGTCAAGATATCTCTGTCCTCTACTCTCAGGACCGCTAGGTTCTTCCCATGCTCACCTTTGAACTTGGCCCCTAGGGACTAGGCAGAAGCAGTGAGTGGCATTAAGTTTGGCCCAGTACAGGATCTCTTCACCCTGGTAGAGGAGTTAAGTGTCTGTGGGGCCTGGGGAGTTACAGGACAGAGAGGGGTTCAGAGGGAGGCAAGAGCAGACAATGATAATTCCTTACCTGGCTAGAACACCTGGATGATGATGCTTTCTCACCTATGTTTCTTACTTGATTCTTACAACTTGGTGAAGTATGTATCACCACCAAAGATGTGCAACTTGCCCCCAGTCACTCAGCTAGGGAATGAGACAGAGGAAAGAAGTGGGGAAAGAAACTGGCATCATTCCACAAGAGCTAGGCTCTGATCTGGGAGGTAGAGTTCAGTAACCTCATAGAAACCTCATAATCACCATATAAGGCATTTTACATTTGAGGAAATGGAGGCTGAGAGAACTAGGTCCGAAATTACAGAGCTGGATGCAGTGAGCTGAGACTGTCACTCAGGGTCTGCCACCACTAAACCAGGAGTTTCAATAGTCCCAAACTGCCATCAAGAATATTCAATAGAAGCTTCGCATGGTGGTGCACACTTATAACCCCTACACTTAGGAGGCTAAGGCAGGAAAATTGGGTGTCTGAGGACAACTTGGGCTATACATAGTGAGGACCCTTTCTCAAAACAAACAAGCTGAGCCGGGCACAGGTGGCTCACACCTTATTGTAGTACTCTCTATTTGGGAGGCTGAGATTGGGAAGGTCGCAGTTTGAGACCAACCTGGGCAAACAGTTCGAGACCCCATCTCCAAAATAACCAGAGCAAAACAGACTGGAGGCGTGACTGAAGTGGTAAAGCATCTGCTTTGTAAGTACAAAGCCCTGAGTTCAAACCCAATCTCACAAAAATCAAAAACCAAAAAACAAGAATATTCCATGGGCTTTCCGTTGTCCAACAATAGCCCACCCCATGGCTTTCAGTGGGTCCCTGTGGGAAGGGAGTGAGATGAGAATTAAATTGTTTGAACTCCTGTGATTCAGCACTAGCACTGTACAAAAAAAGTACCTTACTAGTTGGAATTTCCTAGTTCTCACAACACTTTGAACAGGGGACTATTATTATTCCCATTATAAAAGTGAACAGGCAGAATCTAAGAGGGGATGTGGCTTCTCTGAGAGCCACAGCTTTGTCTCTTTTCTTTCATATATTAGGCTAAGCTTAATGTCAATCATTCAACATGAACATTTACTTAGTACAGTAGTGATTACGTGGTTAGAGACACATTGGTAAATAAACCAGGCCCTCGTGATTATTGTAAAGCATCCACAAGTAGGGCTGGGGATGTAGCTCAGTGGTAGAGTATTTGCCTAGCATGTGTAAGGCCCTGGGTTTGATCGCCAGCAACATGCATACACAAAAGCCACATGAATAAAGCCTATAATGGGGATTTAAATAGAAAGACTGGGAAGACTTCCCTGTGGAAGTAACAGATCTGAAGAGGAAACAAGTTAACTAGACAAGAAAGGAGTGAAGATCATGCTAAGCAGAGGATAGGATATATATCACAGTTGTGCTCCTCTCCAAACTAACCAGAGCTAGGGCGGTAGAGTGGCTCAAGTGGTAGAGTAAGCAAGCATGAGGTCCTGAGTTCAAACCCCAGTATTGCAAAAAAAAAAAAAAAAATCAAAAGAAGGTTGGGGTCTCTCTTCCCACCCCCCATGTTGGTCTAGTTTGCCCCTGCAGAGGGGAGGACTACATTGTTTAGGATAAGGAGAGGGAGAATCCCCAAGACTGAAGATAAATAATGGAGACCCTGCTTTGAGGAGTTTCTACCCAAGGAATCTCCGCTTCCCCAAAGGCAAGGAACCAAACAGTACCAGAATACAGTGCCAGTCTCTCACCATACATGAAGAATGGGCACCTTGCCACTCTTATGGTGGTTCCCACAAGAGCTGGATATCCATCCTCTTTTAAGTCTCCCAGCAGAATAACCCTCATCCAGGGACCTTAACGGAACAGTAGTAGGCAAGGAGTCTCTCTGCCTACCTAGGTGGTTCTTGGACTCAGCATAAACACAGGCAGGGCCTAGGAAGGGACATTTAGGCTGAGAGATCCTGTGAGTGTGCTCCAAGATAGACTTTACACATACCCAGCTGCTGGAACCCTCTCTGTTCTATAGAGATTCCCCACCATCACCAAAAACAAAACAATGGTCTTCAGCAAGGGCTCCAAACAACAACCAAGCCTTGAAGAATGGGATGAGGCTGTCTTTTGTCTTCTGCAGGCCAGCAGATGACCAGCTTCATAGGATAGGGGTGAAGGTGGGCCTTAGGACTAACAAGGTCCTCCTGCTGAAAAGAATGGGACTAGGGGCTGGGTGCCGGTGGCTCACGCCCGTAATCTTACATACTTAGGAGGAGGATCAAGGTTCGAAGTCAGCCAGGGGAAATAGTTCCACAAGACCCTATCTCAAAAAAACCTATCACAAAAAAAGGGCTGGTAGAGTGGCTCATGGTGTAGGCCCTCAGTTCAAGCCCCAGCACCACTAGAAAAAAAAAAAAAAGAATGGGGGTGACCTGGGGGTGTAGCCAGTAGTAAAGCACTTGCTGGTATGCATGAGTCCTCAGCACTACAAAACAAACAGGGCTAAGGGAGTGGCTCAAGTGGTAGAGCGCCTACCTAGCAAGTGTGAGGCCCTGAGTTCAAACCCCAGTACTACAAACAACAAAAACCAACAACAAACAAAGCCTAATAGAGAGAGGGACCAGTGACTCTTTCTCCATGAAGTCAAGTGGTGGAAGGGTTAAGAGGTAGGGCCTTCTAAAACCCGGGAAAAGTGCCCCACCCAGGGGAGGAGCAAATGGGTTAAAAGGCAAGCAGTTTGAGTGAAGAGACAAGACAGGATCTCCCTACTTCCTTAGATCTTCCAGTCTGCAGCTCCAGCTCCAGCTCCAGGTAAGGGTTCCTCTCTGGTTCCTGTCTGCTTGTTTATCTGACTAAAGGGGAGCCTTCTGCTTCAGTATATTACTTCTGGTTTAACTATGGGTCCCTAAGAGATATCAACAGACTTTTATCTTTGCAGGGGCTTCATCAAACCATTCCTCTTTTCCTAAGTCTCTTGCACTGAGCCTGACCAGAATCAAGATGCTGGCCTGAGAGGGAGCTGAGCAACAGGGAGCAGGGAAGCTGTGTATGTCCCTCACCTTGGCCCCAGCCCCTGTGCTCCCCAAGGCTGCTTCCTGAGTCTTCTGCAGGGCCCTGGCTGGGATATCATCATATACTGTAAGTTTGTGATTAGACACTACAGTATAGATGATGTACTAGTCTGGGTACCCCCAGCTCTGGAGCCTGAAGAGGGCAGGGGAGAACCTTCAAGCCCAAGGGGCTCACCACTCAGCCAGTCACAGCCTGCCGACTGCCAGGGCACTTGAGAATGGCGAAGAAACCGTTACCATTACTGAGTTTAGTAATGGTAACGGTTCTCTTGCTCTTCCCAGAAGCTGTGCCAGGAAGAGAGCTCAGGATCCTGGAGCAGCCTCCTGGAAAGGAGGGAAACTCCAGTCTAACGTGGGGATGGGGTGAGGGAATTTCTCTTCTTGACACTGGGGTCTGAATCTCTTCCCTGTTCTAAAGAAATAAACACAAGAACCAGATACTTGTCTTATAACTTTATTAGCATTTGAGGCTGGGCAGAGGATTGGATGGGCGGGAACAGGGTTTGGGAGAGCAGGTGGCAGATTATCTCACTCAAGAAACAAAAGTCAGGGCTGGGTTTTGGTGGCTCATGACTGTCATTCTAGCTACTTGGGAGGCTCAGATTGGGAGGACTATAATTTGAGGCCAGCCAGGGCAAACAGTTCTTGAGACTGCATCTCTAAAATAACCAGAGCAAAAATGTACTGGAGGTGTGCGTGCTCTGCAAATGTGAAGCCCTGAGTTCAAATCCCAGTCCCACCAAAAGGAAAAAAAACAAGAAAATAAAATATGGGTTTGGTTGTTCTTGTTCTCTCTAGAGATGACCTGCTTTCAGTCTATTGAAAGGATATTCCTTTCCTATTAAACTGTACTATCATTTTCACTATTTAAACAAAAGAGAGAGAGAGAAAAAAAAAAAGAAAAGAAACATGAGTCCTTATGCAGCTTCAAGGTGGTGGAACTATGGGAAGAAGAGAAAGATCTCCTCCCTGCTAATAACTGGCAACACAGGGAGACTTTGGGCCCAATGCCAGCTGGGGCAGAAGGCCACTGTTCTCACCACAGGGCCAACTTCTGAGATCTATGTAGTAGTGGCCCCAAACAAAGGAACTACCCAGGAACTGAGGTAAGGCAAGTTCGTTCCTCCAAAGGACACAAGGCTGGGCAGAGACTCAGCAAAGCCAGGCCAGCTAGCAGCTGGCCAGTGTCCGTGCCCCTCACCAGGCCCTGCAGACTCCCTAGGCAGAGGCAGTTCTAGTCAATGACTACTGTCAGCAACTTGAGATGGAATGCCCTGGAAGGGGCAATAAAGGGTGGTCATTTGAGAAGTTTCACAGAGAGACGGATGTGAACTTCACAGAGGAAGATGTCCATGAGGTCGCGGCCCACCTCCTGTGCAATCTGGGAGATCAGATGGCCCTTCTGACCAATCAGTATTCTCTGAGAGTGGGTGAGAGAGAAAGACACAGTCCTACTCTCAGGGCTCCCAGACTAGGGGAAAGAACCCTTGCTTAATCCAGTCTTTATCCCTCCTCCAAGTCTAGCTTCACTTACCATATGAGATTCTTTGGACACCAGAAGGTTCTGTTGGATCACTAGCTCCCCACTTGGTCCTTCCTCCCACAATACTGTCTTCTGTACAGGGAGACATTATGACTAGTCAGACAGATCCATCACTCTGGCTCCTGGTACCCAGTTATACTATTCTGGGTGTGCGCCTGGTGTATTGGTCTCAGACCCCTTTGGTCTCTGCCCGCACCTGCTGTACACTGTAGGGCACCTCCTCTGGTAGATGCTCTAGGAGCTTCTCTCGGACTTTGTTGGTGCAGATCTCTTCAGGTGTTTGGTTGGTGAGGACTTCACTGTGGAACTCCCAGGGGCCTGGCTGGGCCTGTGCCAGGAGGTATTGCTGCAGGCAGAGGGAAAGGTGGACCTCTCAACCCCAATCAGGACTTCCCTATTTCTAGGAGAAACCTGAGGCCTATCTTAACATGAAAGAAACCAAAGACTAGGGCCAAGTCTAACTGACCTTTAGTATATTCACATCCGCCTGGCTTAGGGCTGATAACATGAAGATCTCTTGGAAGTAGGGCCAGCCGATCCTCTGAGGGTTTGCCACAGGCTGTGTGTTTGGGTCTTTAGCTGCTGGGCTGGGGCAATGGGTGCCAGGGTATGAACAGAAGGCCTGCCTCATATTGAGCTTCTTACCATTGACTATACCTTCAGTAAGGGCTGCTGTGAGTTCTAGGAGAACTGACTTCTGTTTTAGGCAATCTACCTAGGTACAGGGAATGAGCAAAGTGTGTAGTCAGCAAGATGGCAGCCTTGGAAGGAAGTAGACTCTTTCCTCAGGTGAACAGTGCTTACCTTGTTCAAGACAAGGATACTGGGGATCTGGGAGAACTGGGTCAAACACTGGAGCAACTGGGGACTGAGCTGGTTCCGAGTCCACTTATCTGAGACATCCACAAGAACTACAACTGTAAGATGGCAGGGTAGGCAGAAGAACAACATTATGACCTTTCTTTCTTACTGATGTACAACTTCCATGGTATGGGCTCTGGCCAAACTTCAACCCCCAAACTACCGGGAATGAAAGTCCCTGTAAATTGGGCTTTAGATTCCCATCTTGAGCCTAACCAAGATCAGCAGATTCCATGCTCTTCCATGGATCTTCCAACAAAGAGCACTCCAGATGATGCCTAAGGGACAGATATGTATCAGGTTTAAGGAACAGACATGTATCAGATCATAAGATCAGATCTTATGACTGATGCATTTTTGATAAGGGATGGGGTATGATAAGGAGGTTTTCCAGCCCCTATAATAGACTCTTCCCAGTCCCTCTTCACTACCTCCCTGCTACCACCACCACCACCTGTTTCCTCAGCAAATACCTTTTCTGTTTAACAGGACTGATGATACCAGGTGTGTCAAGTAGAATCTAAAATCAGAAAAGAAAGATACCCAGATGAAAAGATTATGACTGGGTGAAAGCCAACTTTTTTTCTTTTTTTGGCAGTACTAGAGTTTGAACTCAAGGCCTCATGCTTGCTAGGTAGGCACTCTTGATGCTTGAGCCACTCCATCAGCCCTTTTTTGTGCTGTATTTTTCAAGACAGGGTCTCAGGAACTATTTGCTTGGGACTGGCTTTGAACACTGATCCTCCTGATCTCTGCCTCTTGAGTAGCTAGGATTACAGGTGTGAGCTACTGGGACATACATTCATTCATTCATTTATTTATTTATTGTGGTGCTAGAGATCAAACCCAGGGCCTCATACATACTAAGTAAGTTCTCTACCAATAAGCTGTATCACAGAGAGGACATCTTCATGTCGGCAGCTTTCCCTCCCTTAGGCCAAACTGTTGCTAACTTTAAATTTTTACCTTTGAGCATTGTTTTAATTCTAGATGGGATCCCAGAGGAAGATGATGACTATGAATAAAGGAAAGATTAAGAAATAGTAAAGATTGGGAGGGAAGTGTGCCTCAAGCAGTAGAGTGCTTGCTTTGCAAGTGTGAAGCCCTGAAGCCCTGAGTTCAAAACCCCAGTCCCACCCAAAAAAAGTAAACATAGGGAGGATCATGGTTTGAGGCCAGGTGGGACAAAAAGTTCTAGAGACCCCATCTCAACCAAAAAAAGCTGAGCTTAGTGGCATGGGCCTGTCATCCCAGCTATGCAGAAAGCATAAATAGGAGGATCACAGTACAGGCTAGCTGGGCCATAAAAAGGAGAATAAACAGGAGATCCTACTGGAAAAATAACTAAAGCAAAAAAAGCTGGCAATGTGGCTCAAGTGGTAAAGTACCTACTTTGCACCTGAGTTCAAATCCCCAGTATCACATGCACACAAAAAAAAGTCAGGCGCTGCTGGCTCACGATTGTAATCCTAGCTACTCAGAAGGCAAAGATCAGGAGGATTGCAGTTCAAAGCCAGCCTGAGCAAAAAGTTCACAAGACCCTATCTTGAAAACACCCATCACAAAAAAAAAGGCTGGTGGAGTGGCTCAAGGTGTAGACCCTAAGTTCAAGCCCCAGTACTCCAAAAAAGAAAGAAAGAAAGAAACATACTTCAGACTAGATGGCAAAGGGAGGAAAGATGAAACAGAACTACACCAAGACTTAAGGAAGAGGAGACTCTTTCCTTCAGATAAGTGAATCTAAATTATCATTTTCTTTACTTACTTATTTTTGCCATGCTGGGGTTTGAACTCAGGGCCTACACCTTGAGCCACTCCACAGTCCTTTTTTGTGATGAGTTTTTTTCAAGATAGGGTCTTGAGAACTGTTTGCCCTTGCTGGTTTTGTACCTTGATCTCCTGATTTCTGCCTCCTGAGTAGCTAGGATTATAGGCGTGAGCCACGGCTCCTGGCTTAGTATCATTTTCTTTAAGCCCAATGGTAAGGGAGACTTACTTAGTTTCACTTCCCCCACCCACCCACCCCTGGCTTAGTTCCAGTACTTTATTTGCAGTTACCTACCACCTGGGCCTCCTTCTCTGTGATAACACCCAGAGCTTGGCAGCGTGTGGTGTGCACCTTTTTGGAGACAGGGAATATCTGCAGGAACAAAGAAGTCTCAGTGAGATCACAGATCCTGCTAGGACACTTCAGTGAAGGCAAAGCAAGAAACGAGAGATAAAAGGGTGTGTGTGGGGGGGGGGCGTGTAAAGGCACAGCATACTTTTCGGCCTAGCAGTTGGTTGGAGAGCGTTGACTTCCCTGCATTTGGGGTTCCCAGGAGTACCACTCGTAGGATCCGGGGATTCTCAGGCATGTCAGGGGACTGGACCAAGAGGAGATCCTGTTCACCTGTGTTTGGGTGGGGACAGGAGTGAGACCTAGTGCAATCTGAAAACCCTGTCAGGTGCTCAGCCCTGCCTACCCACAAAGGAAAGATACAAGATTTAGTGTACCAGGCTGAAGTCATTTACACCTAACTTTAAGACTCAGTTTTGCATTTACTTTGTTTGATTTTATCAAGTTCTCTAACCTCCTTAGTTTTCTCCTATGTCAAGTGAAATTAACATTAATGGTACCTACTTATAGCTTTCTTTTGACAGTTGGCAATTGTGTAAAAACTGCTCAGGAAAGACCAAGTAATCCCAGCACTTGGGGCGGGGCGGGGGGCTAGGCAGGAGTATCACTGAGTTCAAGGCCAGCTACGCTTGTCTCAAGAAGCCAAAACCAACCCAACAAAGCTGACAGATACTCATGTAATTGGATTGTGCAGGTGTGCCTGGGAAATGTACGTGCAAGTGCTAAAATACAGATGAACTAGTTGGGTGCAGTGGCTTGCTATTGTGTCTCAAATACTCAAAAGGCTGAGTTGGAAGATTGCTTGAGTCCAGGAGTTTGAGATCAACCTAGGTAACATAGGGAGACACTGACTCACAATAAAAAGGTTGGGGGTGGGTTGGGAATGTAGTTCAGTGTAAGAGTGCTTGCGTAGCACCCCCAAGAGCCTTGGATTGATCCAGAGAGAGAGAGAGAAGAGAGAGAGAGAGAGAGAGAGAGAGAGAGAGAGAGAGAGAGAGAATGAATCATACAAGTAGACTAAAAGCCTAAAATGTATCCATCTCTAGCTTTGCAAACTTTCTCAGTCTTTCCTTATTACACTGTGTTGCAATTTACAGTGTCCACAGGAAGAAGGGAGATGAAGAATGATGTAAGGAGTGAATCTAAATAACACATTATAAGTACATATGAAAATGTCAATGTATCCCCCATGTACAACTTTTTTTTTTCTTTTTTTTTTTTTGTGGTACTGGGGCTTGAACTCAGAGCCTATAGCTTAAGCCACTCCACCAGCCCTTTTTTTGTGTTAGGTATTTTTGAGATAGGGTCTAGTGAACTATTTGCCTGGGCTGGCTTCAAACCTCCATCCTTCTAATCTCTGCCTCCTGAGTAGCTAGGATTACAGGCATGAGCCACCAGCACCTGGCTGCCCAGGTACAATTATATGCTAATAAAGTGTCCAGCCTCCCTAACCAGACTTTTAGTCTGTGCTGCTTTAAGAATAAAGTGTATTATTTCCCAGGTTTAACTTCACGGTTTGTTGTTGTTGTTATTGTTGTTGGTTTGTTTTTGTTTTGAGCCTGGTTCTTCCCATATTGCCTGTTGCTGGAGCTGGCCTGCAACTCGAGATCCTCCTGCCTCTATCTCCCTAGTGCTAGGATTGCAGGGGTTTACCACCGTTCCTTGTGTGACTTAGTGTCTTGACAAGTAGATGGGTCTCAACATGCATTTAATGCATCGAGATTGCTTGGGATATGTGGGCAGAGAACCACAACTCGGTCTTGCCTCGTGCTCTTTCCTCTCACTCTCAAACTCTTCACTACTCGTCTTTCTCAGAGCCTCAAATTTCCACAGGAACTGTGGGTTTCCCCCACACGGTACTCTCAGTGCTAAAACCACGACACCACCAGGAGAGCCTAACCACCATACCTGTAATCCAAGCACTTGGGAGGCTGAGGCAAGAGGATCTGTAGTCGGAGGCCAGCCTGGTATACACTGTAAGATCCTGCCTCACAAAAAAAAAAAAAAAAAAAAAAAAAAAAAAGCAAGCAAGAAACAAAACTTTGTCCGAGCTCTTTACCTCTGTACATTGACACCGCGGGGACGCAAGAAATCAGCGAACTGTCGGGCTGAGGGAATCCGAGGAAGCGGTCCAGGGCTGAGCCCTGGCCATAACGGCGAGAAGCCGAGGCCAGGCGGGGACCAGAGAAAGTAGTGCCTACGCCCCTCTTCTGATGGCCTAGAAGTGACCGGAGCGGGGCTGTCCACCCCCTCGCGGTGGCTGGGCCCAGCCACCAGACCCCCAACACCCACCGAGCAAGCCTAGCTCCGCATCGGCCGGGGGCAGCCATTACAGCAGTAAAGCATTCTGGGAACCGAGCCGCAGCGCACCTACGATTGGACAAAGCGGCGAACAAACCAGCGAATAGAAGAAAACTACATCGGTCCAAACAGAACAGACACGTTTGGGGCGTCGGTGGGAGACCAGCCGCTCCAGAAACTGGCGGAGACTAAGGAAAGACAAAAATGTGTAGTATTTAGAATCTGTGTTAGCATGACAATTGTTTTGGACTACCATGCATATTCTGTTTTTTTCTCCTGCCAAAATTTTGGAAGCGGCCCTTCCGGCTCTGTCTTCTGAACGACTACATCTCCCAGCAGGCTAAGCGGTAGAAATCGTCCTCCTGGGGCCCGGTTGCACCCAGCTGCAGAGCCCCGCAGATGTCGGGAGGAATGGTCGAGGGCGTGGGAAAGAGCACTTTGTCTCCTGTCGCCGGAAGGTTGTTTTGCTTTGTTTTGTTTTGTTTTGTCATTTCCAACCTCGGGACTGCTGGATTCTTTCCCCGTCCCAGTTTGGCTTGGCCTAGCGGTCGGTGGTGGCTTCAGGCAGTCTTCACCTTTTACTTAGTATTATACTTCCCCAGGGGCCGGTAGAATAGCTCAAGTGGTAGAGCGCCTCCCTAGCAAGCGTGAGGCCCTGAGTTCAAACACCAGTACTACCGGGAAAAAAAACAACAAAAAAACAAAAAAAACCCACCTTCCTAGTATGCTTTCCTTATGTAAGCAGTGGCCCTTTTCTCGGCGTTCTGGTCGAGCAGCATGCCCGGATTTCCCTTCTGTAAATACCAGCTACTCTCTCCTCCTTTCTGGAGGAAAAAAAAAAAAAAATTTAACAGTAACAACAACAAAAGCAGTCTACAAAGGCTAAAGTCGCTTAGCAGCACAAGGATCTCCTATACCACTCTAGCAGCCTGAGGCTGGATTAACATTGGCCTTTGTGGCTTCAATCTTTTAAGCCTCTCAAAACTTTTTTTCTTGCGATGCTGGGGATTGGTTAAATTCTTGAAACGGAAACATATATCCTGTGGGGATTGGGAGGATGAGGATTTATGAAGAATCTACTATTAAGTGCAAGCACTGTACTGGTTCTGGGTATACATCAGTGAACACATGGACAAAAATTCTGACCACGAAACTTGCACCAGAGGCCCTTGTGCTGCACAACTGGTCTGTGTGAGACACGAAGTTTCAAAACAATAGTTTCGTGAAGGCCTAAATGTAGTTAGTTTAAAACAGAAAGAGCCAGGTCCTGGTGGCTCACACCTGCAATCCTAACTACTCAGGATGCAGAAATCAGGAGGATTGCAGGTGGAAGCCAGCCCAGGCAAATATTTCATGAGACCCTATCTCGAAAAATCCATCACAAAAAAGGGCTGGTGGAGTGGCTTAAGGTGTAGGCCCTGAGTTCAAGCCCCAGTACCTCAAAAAAAAGGACAGAATATGAGGAGAGAAATCCAGGAGGGAGGCAACTATGCACTTTAACCAAATGGAAGAGAAGGTGTAGATATACACATACCTGTCTCTATATCTTCCCAGGGAAGCTGAGTAATAGAAGATGCTTAGTAGATTAACAGGAGAGGGCTGTGAAGTTTAAAGAGGGATTTCTTGGAGTTTTTGCTCCCATTTCCTGCATGGGGGGGACAGAAGATATTTCTCTCTCTTTCTGCCTCTCCCCCCCTACTTGTCTATACTTTATCCTGTTACACTAAAATAAATCCTTGGTAAACCTTCCAGAAAAAAAAAAAATGGGGGAGGGATTTATTTTTCTCTGCTAATGGCAATGACCCAGTAGACAGGAAAAATAACTTGGTAATACAGAAGATGATACAGGAGGGCTGGGCACCAGTGGCTTACACCTGTAATTCTAGCTACTCAGGAGGCAGAGATCAGGAGGATCACAGTTCCAAGCCAGTCCAACAAGAAGTGGCTTGTTCAAGCAACATTATCTAGAAAAAAATCCATCACAAAAAAGGTATGGTGGAGTGGCTTAAGGCGTAGGCCTTGGTTCAAACCCCCGTACCACAGGGAGGAAAAAAAAAAAAAGGATAATACAGGAAAGAGAATTTTGGAAGTGGAGAGAACCAACTGGCCAGGCTGCTATTGTAAGAATGGAGGATTGATGTCCAGAGAATTTCTGAAAGACGCAGAGCCAGAGAAGCCAAATGCACTGATAATTTGTAAATGGTATCAGACTCCAGCTTTTAGGCTGCCTGGTCTGTTAGTGGATGGAACAGCCTTTTTGGAACATGATAGTCTGAATGTTATTTGGGCATATGGGTGCCCAGAGAAAAAGATGCTACTAAACATAAGAGACAGCCAGTAATCAGAAAAATAATCTTTTTGTATTATCAGGTGAAATGGCATTATAACTGCAATTAGGGTGAAGGGAAATTTTCAGATATAATTTTAAGCAGCTGAAGAGCTTAATTACATAAATGCAAAATCACCCAAGAAAAATATACTAAGTATTATTATGTTAGCAAGCATCATATAAATAAATACACCCCCCCACACACACCCATATGCATCAGATAAAACTATGGAATAATTCCAGGGATGACAAAAACTTAAGGGAAATAAGTTAAAGTGCTTTTCTTTTTATTCCTTTGGTGCTGGGGACCCAACCTAGAGTCTGTCATATGCTAGGCAATGGATCTGCCACTGACCTACACCCCCAGCCAATTCTTTGCTTTTCTTTTTTAGTGATATTATAGTTTGAACTCAGGGCTTCACACTTGCTAGGCAGGTACTCTACCTCTTGAGCCACACTTTGGACCCCAATTCTTTTTTTTTTTTTTTGAACTCAGGGCTTCACACTTGCTAGGCAGGTGTTCTACCACATGAGCCACTCTGCCAGCCCTTTGTGTGTGTGTGTGTGTGTGTGTGTGTGTGTGTGTGGGTATTTTCAAGATAGGGTCAAACAAACTATTTGGCTGGGCTGACTTCAAACCACTATCCTACTGATCTCTGCCTCCTGAGTAGCTAGGATTACAGGCATGAGCCACTAATACCAGACCACCAATTATTTTCTTAATTAGAACTAGAGATTTTCCTCAAAGGTATCATAGGGGGATTTGTTGTATTAGGTTAGGATGGCAAGCCAAATGAAACACTCTGTCTGGGTTCTACCCCAACTTTACCGTTTATTAGCTGTGAGTTTGGACAAGTTATTTAAACTCCGCAAGTCATCTGTGAAGTAAAAATGACCATAAGCATATCTACCTAATATATGTTTATTTGAGTCTAGGACTTAGAGTAATGAAGGTTCTCAATAAATGTTCCCATCCTAATGCTAATCCTAATGCTACTCTTCCATAAACTTTGTTCCATAAATTATACTTTCTTTACTGTGCAGACATTTCTGTCTGTACTGCATTCCTCATACCAATATATATTTTTAAAATGCTTAATTTCAGCCAGGTGTACTGGCACATGCCTGTAATCCTAGTACTCTGCAAGCTGAAGCAAGAGGATCTGGTGTTTGAGGCCAACCCAGGCCACATGGCAAGACCTTGTGTCAAAAAACAAGGAATGATGGTGCATGTCAGTAATCCCAGGACTTGGGAGACAGAGGCAGGAAGATCAAATTCAAGGCCATCCTGGACTACATAGTGAGACTATGTCTCAAAAACAAAAATCTTAATTTGGTCCATCTAAAAAGCAAAAAACCAAAACTTCCCTGATCCCAAGTCTTTTTCAACTAAGTGTTACTTACCTTTCTTACTAAAATAGTGCAGCGAAGATGGTAGAGAGAAGCAGATGGATTCCAGAGTTTTAAGGGGAAGAATCAGTTTGTGCTTCAAACCCTCCAAAGGGCTGGGCACAGAAATCAGGAGGATCACAGTTTGAAGCCAGCCTGTCAAATAGTTTGTGAGACCTTATTTTGAAAGGGCTGGTGGAGTGGCTCAAGGTATAGGCCCTGAGTTCAAACCCCACTACTGCAAAAAAAAAAAAAGTCCTCTTGTTCCAACTAGATTAATCCTTGTATAGCCCAACTGCATTGAACTGTGCTTATTTTTCTTCCCAAGGCTGAGCAACATTGGCCTTCCTTCTTCCCTTTAACATACCAAGTGCATATCTGCCTCAGAACCTTTAAACTTGCTGCTTCCACCTCCTATATTCTTCCAGATCTGGAATTTGTTCCCTATTCAGGTCTCAGCTTAAATATCATTTCCACAAAGAGACTTTTCCACCAGGCATGGTAATTCATGCCTGTAACCCCAGCAGCTCAGGAGGTATAGGTAGGAGGCTGGCCCTGGGCAAAAAAGCAGGAGATACTATTCAAAACATAAAGCAAAAAAGAAGCCAGAGGATGGCTCAAATGGAAGAGTAGAAGAGTGCTTGCCTAGCAAGCACAAGGCCCTGAGTTTAAACCCCAGTATTACCAGAGAGAGAGACAGAGAGACAAAGAGACAGAGACAGATTTTCTTCACAGCATTTATCACTCTCTGAAATGATCCTCTTTAACAAGTACCTGGAATGCTACAAGAGGAGTCTTCCTAGCTTGGATCTTACCAAGCTTCCCATGGTCCCAATCTGAAGAAGTTTATCACTGTCCTGAAAATAAAGTACAAATTAACATCATTTAGTTTACTTCCTTAGTCCCATCTCTTGTTGTTCCCTTTTTACAGGTCAATTGAATTTCTTTTTTCTTTTTTAGTTGTGCTTGCGTTTGCACTGGTAGGCAGGCACTCTACTAGTTGAGCCACACTCCCAGGTTTTTTTTTTGTTTTCCAGTTGTTTTTCAGATAGGGTCTCCCATTTTTCTCTGGGGCTGGCCTTGAATTGAAATCCTTCTACCTATACCTCCCTGGGATTATAGTTGCATGCTACATGTCCAGCTTATTGATTGAGGCAGGGGTCTATAACTTTTTACCCATGCTATTCTCAAACCACGATCCTTCTAATTTCTGCCTCCTGAGTAGGTGGGATTACAATGTGAGCCACAACACTGGGCTCCAGAAGCAAAATTTTTCTTGTGCCTTTTTGTTTCCAACTGAATTATGCATCC